TATCATGCCTGTATCAGTTTTGAAGTTTGCATTTGTAAATTAATACAACCTGATACTTGTGCATGGATGCCCAGTCTTAACAAAGTTACATTTAGAAGTTGGATTTTGAATCTGGATCTAATAAAAATTTTAGGATCAATAATCAGCAAACCTAATGTTAGCTTTTTAAAAACAATAAGCAAAAGTGGAATTATCTTAGGAAATATAGGAAAATTTATAAATCTTCAAAAGTATAGAAAAAACGCAACTGGAGTAAAGTTTCATATCAATAATTAACTGACCTTAACTTATAAATATGGGCAATAGCAATAAATGTAATATTGAAAATCAGAGAATTACCACCAATTCTAATGCTCAATGTTAACTCAATAAGAATATCTATCAAGCTGTGTATTAAATTATGTTTTGCTGATGATAAAATTGAAAAAAATCTTTCATTTTGAATCCTTTTTTTCTTGGTGTTTATTTTGTTTGTTTTTAGTTATTATATAAAAGAGGCCAACATTTAAAAAAAGCTGTATATATGGAAATAAAAGAAATAGTAAAGTCTTACTAAAAATCATATATTTTTTTTATGAAGGCGGTGTAACTGGGGACATTGTTTTCGATAAAGGAAAATAGTACAACTTTTCCAGCTTATAGATTACTTGGATTTTCATTATTTTCTCAGTAATAGAACTTATTGAACTAAACACATTGGAGGATATTTTAAAATTATCCAATAAAACTATACTGAAAATAAGTGTAAATATCTTAGTTGAACAATAGGCATTAATAATTCAAGTCATATTTTTTTTTCTTTTGGGAGCTGAATTATATACCATTTAGTGACATCGTTTTTTCTCATTAAAATCTTCATCAGTTAAACCATATGTAATTCATTTATAAGAAAGTTTTATGGAACTGATAATATCCACTTGTCTGCACAGTTGGATCTTCAAATGTATTAAAAATAAGGATGTTGAATAATCAAAAATAAATTTGCAACTATTTCAGAACATTTGTTTTCAACTAGGGGAGAGAGGATAAAAATATCTTAAGTATTTTATACATAATATTTATTTATTTATGATTTCATATTCAGGAATACTCAGATTAGGGAATATAATTGATTTATGCTTTAGGATTTTGCTAATTATTGACCAGTTGTTTGAGGCAATAGGGGTCCAAATTCAGCAGTGCCTGTTTGATGAATAAAAATTTGATAATAATAGTATAATAAATAATACAGGATTTCAGAAACCTAAATATCATAAAACCTAATAATTTCATATGAAATACCAATACTGTCAACTGCTAAGAAATTGAGGAAATTATATTTAAGTTAAAATGTAAATATGAGGTTTTAAATATAGGTTATAGAACAAAACGTATGGTATGATCTAGTTTACGTACATATACTCATTTGAATGTTTATAGAAAAAAATGCACCAAAATATTAGCTGTAACTACCTCTGGTTATTAGAATTTTAGAATCAGTTATGCTTCAGATCTCTGAACAATAGCATATAGGGCTCTCCCTTCTTCTAGCACTCTTGTAAAGTATGAAATAAACTAATGGGCAGACTTAGGGGGTGTAAGAAAACAGTCCAGAATTTACCTTCAGTAGTTAAAATGTTTAAACTCAAATTCAATTCCAATTTTTCTTCTCATTTTTTCTCTTCTTTTCTTTTTTTTCTTCATAAATTTAAAGATCTTTTTTTTCCCAAGAAGAAAAAATAAATAATGGTATAACAATGAGCCAAAATTGACTGTAGACAGTATCATGGACTATTTGAAGGGAGGCATCAGTTTACTAAGATTGGACTATTTGAAGGGAGGCATCAGTTTACTAAGATAACAGACCAGCCCAAAACAAGATACTGTTCAATAATCAATTTTTGTGCTGTAATTCCAGTACTTGTCAAATATGCAATGATGTGCTTTTAGCCAACATAGCCCAATAAAAATTAAAACTGGAAATATTTGGTGACACTGGCCAGCTCTGTTAATTTCTACATAATGATTTTTGCTATTGTGAGATCTTAAGTAGGTCTGAAACAGAATAAGCATAGTATTGAGGCTAAGTAGTATACCCTTTTTTTTAAGTGTCTAAAATTGAGACAGTCTCCAAATAATATCATCCATTCTGCAGTTCTTTTCAAAACTGCTTTTGTGACAGGTTAGGGACAAAGGCAACCTTATACACAAAGTCCCCAAGTTTTGTTACTGTGGACACAGGAACCTTTCTTTCGCACAGGTATAATTACAGAGGTTTCTAGATTTTTGACTTTCATACCTGTTGCTTTGTTTGCTCCCTAACAGCACAAATTGTGAGTTAAGACTGATCACTCATACACCAACTGGATTTTTTATAAGAAACTGGTTTCAAAGGAAGCTTGGTAATAAGCAGGAATATGATTTATTGTCATTGAAATGGGACTTTGAATTTCCACATTTCTTAACCTAATTTAAAATGGGAATAATTGTAGTGAATACAAGATCTCTCACTTCTAAGTTGGAATTCTGGTATTGTATGACGATGAATCTATTTAAAGACAAAATTATAAACCTAAATAAAATGGAAGATAATGATATAGAAGACAGATAAAACTTGATGAAGAGCTATGTAAAAAAAACTAAAGACAGTAAAATAGTTGTCATGCCCCTCCCCCAAATAACGCTCTGGCCATATAATTTTAAAGTGACTTAGAGAAAAATGTCAAGAAACAGGTAATTCTTCTTTAAAAAAAATTCTTATTTGGGTTTAATTAACACACAATATTACATTAGTTTTAGGTGTACAACATAGTGATTCAGCATCTCTGTATGTTACGCCATGCTCACCGCAAGTGTAGCCACCACCGGTCACCATACAACACCATCTCACTGACTCTATTCCCTATGCTGTATCTTTTATTCCCCGTGACTTACTCATTCCATCACTAGAAGCCTGTACCTCCCACTCCCCTTCACCTATTCTGTTCATCTCCTCACCCCCTTCCCTCTGACAACCATCAGTTTGTTCTCTATATTTATAGGTCTGATTCTTCTTTTTGTTTGTGTATTTATTTGTTTTGTTTTTCCACATATGAATGAGGTCATGTGGTAATTCTTAATCTCATAACTTTATTCATCTTCTCTCTTTCCTCAGGGTTCACTATGTTTGAGAAGTCCATATCCTGCATCTAGTTTCAAAAGTCAAAAGTTAACAAACATTTCCCTCTCCTTCACATTTACTTTACAGTAGATAAACTTGGTAATTTAATTTCTAACCATCCCTCAGATCCACCTGATTCTCTTCATTACTAACCCTAAAATGCTAGCCCAGGCTACCAACTTCTGTCTCTTGGACCATTACAATAGATGACTAATTGTTGACATAATTTCCCAGTTCCTCTAATCTGTTATTCACAGAGTGACCCAGAATAACCTTTGTAAAATTTAAATCTAATAATTTTTCATCTATGCTTAACATCCTTCAATAGACTCAATTTTATCTTACAATAAAAAATTACACTGCTTTAAATGGCCTCTCTCTTTTAGCTTTGACTCCCTTCACTGTCTTTGTTTCTGTCACACTGGCCTTGTATCATTTTTAAACAAGATATATCTCCTAATTTCTTAGCATATATGCATATTAATATTCATAGCTTTTAAAATTCAATTAAAAATTGATAAAAATAATAAAGATAAGATTTCAAATTAAAGGAAGGCTTGAAATGATTAATATACTTATGACAAGATTCTCAACCCTGATAAATGAAAATCAAAAAATAAATACCATTTTAAAATGATAAGATGGATAATCTCAAAAGTGACAATATCCAAAGTAGGCTATCCTGTGAAAATAGTGGAATTTTCCTTACATCGTTGAAAAAACTCAATAGTTGCTTTTTTGGAGAAAAATCTCTCGGTATTTAAAGCCCATACTCATGTACAACTTGATATAGCCAGCATCCCACAGAAATCACAGCATATATATAAAATATCTTAATCCTGTTTTTGATATTATATTTATAATAGCTCAACATTAGAAATTAATTAAACGTCCTTTAAAAGCTAAATAAAACAATGAATTTAGTGGTAAATAAATACACTAAAATTAGCATATTTCTACTTTATCAGGGTAGACTTACTTGAGGGCAGATAGTGGATGGCACAGAGAGACTTTTCATCTTATCTTTTTTGACCACATATCTTATTTTGCACCCTCTAATTCCTCTTGAAGATAAAGATGAATCCTTAAGCAATTTTCCAACCACAAGCCACCTCAGACATGCCCAAACTAAACAAATCTGTAGCCACCTGAAAATGCTATTCCTTTATGAATGGTCCTCCACCAATTCCTAATTTCTCTTTAGGAATATGCTTGTATTTTCAGAGTGCATACCTAGCTAATATATTTGTGCCTTTTGTAATTATTGGCTGAATTTACTTGCAATTAAACAGTATAGTTATTTTGATTTATTTGAGTTCTTAAAATAATTGTACTTATGTATAATAAAGCAGGAGTGGGTTAATTGAAGTTATTGTTCATTGCATTAAAAAAAAGATCTGTCAGGACAGTTAAACAGAACTTTAGATATAACTCCTTACTGTATAATCACATCCACCAAGAAGTTATAGAGTATGAAATTGCAGAAAAGTGTGGGAAACCAGTGCATAGGTTTCAGTCACTTTTGAAGCACAATCAATATGACAGTATTTTTAGTTAGATAATTAAAGAGTTTGGGTAAAATTAAACATAGTCACATATCCAACATTATTTCAAAATTAATATAAAAATTGAAATATATTAAGTAATAAGCAGACAGACCTAGATATGACCTCTTCCCCTAAGGATTTATAACCACCGCTATGTCTCTTTCAGTGCTTCTCAGTTCTTTGACCTCTTCATCTCAATCACAAGTACTTTGCCTACTCCCAGAATAATTATGCTGCCCTAACGCCCAACTCTCTGAAAATCTGTTTTTTTTTTTTTAGTAAAGAAAAATGTAGGGACTAACACACCCTTTTAATATATTTTTAAATATTTTTAAGGTTTAAAAGTGTTTAAAGTTTGTAATTCCTAGTAGGAAAACATTATCTGAATGACTACCCTAATGGCAAACCACTATAGAATGTTTCAGTTGCATGTGGGGCAGAGGGGTAGGGATTCTCTTCACAGCACCCCAGCTTTCTTCATGAGAAGGTCAGAGGTACACTGGTTTGTATTATTGTGACATCCATTAGGTGATCTTTGCTTTTCCTTCAGCAAGGGCTTTATTTGTCAGAAGGGCATTATTATGCTTGACCTCCAAATTTGGATGACAATTTACTGATGAGATTCATAACCTTTGGATTGCTCTGATATTTTGACATATTCGCTGGGTTCTGGGCCACATCCTGGAAGGCCACCATCACTTCTGGATCCTGCATGGCTGCGAGAACCTCTGGATCACTAAGAATTTCATTGAGCCCAGGCATTCCTGCCATTCCAGGCATCCCCCCTGCCATTCCAGGCATTCCTCCAGGAAAATTACCAGGCATTCCCCCAGGAAAGCCACCTGGGAAAGAGCCATACTGAGCTCCGGATTGTCGTCTGGCTTCTTCCTCCCTCTGGGCTCTCTCATGTTCTTCCCGAGCCTTCTTAACCCTTTCTATTCTTTCTTTGATCTCTCGCTCTTCACGTTTTCGCTCATACTTTCTCCGATGTTCAGCAATTTTCTGGGCCCTCGGTTGAACTTCTTTCAGCATTGCGCTAGCATCTTCATCATAATCCAGTTTACAAGCAAGGGCAAGATCATGTGCTGCTTCTTCCCAATGGCCCAGAAGTCTGTGTGCTTTCCCTCGCCACTTATAAGGCTGAGCGGAATCAGGATTTATTTCAATAGCTCTGTCACAGTCTCAAATGGCAGCATTTGGCTTCTGTAATTTGATGAAGACACTGGCTCTCTTGGCATACAGAATGGCCAAGCGAGGATTCAGTTTGATGGCATCTGTGAACAAGTCAATGGCTTTCTGTAGTTCACCATCATTTAGGGCATCAATGGCAGCCACTTTTTTATCATTTGCCTGATCCATCATTTCTTCGGTTATCTCTACATTTTCATCTCCCATTTCTTGAGGGGCATCAGTATCTGGTTCAATCACACCTTCATTGTCAATTTCTAGATCACTTTCCTCACTTGATGGTTCGTCTGTCTTTATGTTTTCCTCCGCCTTCTTACTATCTGTTTTTTCTTCCTTGATATTGTCTTCTGATTTAGTTTTATGAGTGGCAGGTGGTATTTTACCCCCCATGCTCTCCACCCACTCCCGCAGGAAGCGCATTTCCTCGGTGTGCAGAACGCTCGGATCCTGCTTACACATTTTCACGAAGGCCCGAAGCTCGCTCACTTTGCGGGGGTCCATGGCCCAGAGGCGGTGAAAGGCGGCAGGCGCGGCTGAGGTTGCGGCCCGATTCCAAGCCCGGGTACTAGCTCAGGGTGATCGTGTGGAACGGGGCAGCTGCCGCGAGGCAGAACAGACTAGAACCTCCCCGGCTGCTGGCTCCTCTGAAAATCTGTTTAAATGGAAATGTCACTCTTTCTGTTGTTCTTGCCCCCAACATTGGAGTAATCTTTGCTTCTTCTCTTGCCAGTCACCTCTAATCTATCAGGAGAGCCTGATAGCTATTCTGTCAGAATATGTCCAGAATGTTATCACCACTTACCACTTCCCTTGACACCATTTTGTGTATGCTTCTATCATCTATTATCTGAATTATTCCAATTATCTTTTAACTGGTCTTGGTTTCCATCTTGTCTCTGTAGATCATTGTCAATAACAGCTGTATTTCACTTTAAATATAAGGCAAGTTAGAATATATCGGTCTTCTGTTCAAAAACACACCTAACTTAGAGGGAAAAAAAAGTTCATATAGGTATAATGGCACTCCAACTGAAAAGATCACCAAATATGATTATGGGATCACTGTATTCTTTTCCTTCTCTACAGCCACATTGATTGGGGGAGCATATGGATTATTTTTTAAGCAATACTTTGCTACAAATTCTTCACTAATATCTTAGCTTTTCAGTTAGATCTACCCTGAGCCTCCTATGTAAAACTACAAACCAGCAAGATTCCTCCTTTTCATCTTCCCTGATTTATTTTTCTCCCTTACACTTGTCAACTTCTGATACAGTATCTGTGACAAATTATATTTTCCAAAGGAGGCACAACATTATTTCCCGTCCCATATACTCATCTGCAGCATGACCTTGGTGGATCCTAATCGCCTGTCTCTTGGATCCGAACTGGCAGGCAAGTGACTTCTTGATGTATAAATGCGAGAGAAGTCATGTTCTGGGATTTCCGTGGCTATGTCATAAAGAATCTTGTCACTTTCACTGAGTTCTCTCAGAATGCTTGTTCTTGGGTCTCTCCCTCTTTGAACTTAACCACCATGCTGAGTGACATTTGAGTCACATGGAATGGTCAAATGTATGTGCATCAATCTACATCTCCACCTTAGCTGATGGTTAACATTCACTGCCAGACACATGAATGAACCCTCTCGGATATCTGGCTTAGTTAAGCTTTCTCATCACTGCTGCAGACTCAGCAGACAATCGACAGCAGCTTCATGAGGAATTCCAAGCAAGAACTGTCCATCTGAACCTAGATAACACACAGATTGCTAAAAGATAAAAATACTTTTTTATATATACTCAAGTTTTTGTTTGTTTGCTTTTTAAAAAAAGATTTATTTATTTATTTTGAGAGAGAGTGAGAGTGCATGCTGATGGGGAGAGGCCAGAGGGAGAGGGAGAGAAACAGACTCCCCACTGAGCACTGAGCCTGACACAGTGCTTGATCTCACAACCCCAAGCCCAGCACCTGAGCTGAAAATCAAGACAGTCGCTTAACTGAGCGACCCAGTCATCCCTGTTTGTATGCTTTTAAACACAGTAATATCACCATTATTTATCATGTTTATTGTATATCTACCTAATAAGATGTAAGCCCAAGAAGGCAGGACATTATTGCTACCCCGGCTTTCTTTTGGTATCCATTTGCATGATAAATACTTCTCTATCCCCTCACTTTCAATCTGCAGGTGTCTTTTGGTCTGATAGGAGTCTCTTGTAGGCAGCATAGAGTTGGGTCTGTATTTTTATCCACTTAGTCATCCCGGGTTTTTTTTTTTTTTTTTAAAGATTTTATTTATTTGACAGAGAGAGACACAGTGAGAGAGGGAACACAAGCAGGGGGGTGGGAGAGGAACGCGGGCTTCCCGCCAAGCAGGGAGCCCAATGCGGGGCTCGATCCCAGCACTCTGGGATCATGACCTGAGCCGAAGGCAGACGCTTAACGACTGAGCCACCCAGGCGCCCCTGTCATCCCGTTTTTTGATTGGAGCATTTAGTCCATTTACATTCAAAGTAATTATTGATAGATATGTATTTATTGCCATTTTATTACTTGCTTTAGGTTGTTTTTATGGATTTTTATCTGATCTCTTGCTCTCTTTTATGGTTTTTTGGCTTTCTTTAGTGATATACATGGATCCCTTTCTCTATTCTATGCATATCTCACCTATTAGTTTCTTCCCTGCCAATTCACAATCTCCAAACATGTCCCTACCCAGTTCAAGTAAGCATCCTCCCTTCCAAATCTCATTATCAGTGACTCTCCCCCCCGCCCTGCCCCTGCATTAGCAGTTCTGGTTAACTACTTTCAAATTTTATCTTGTCTCACAGTTTCTCATCATTTCCAAATTATTCCTGAGTTTAAACCACCATTATTGCTTACATTCAATCAATCTCCAATTATTCCTTCTACTCCAGACTTCTATTACACATTCTCCAAACAGGAATAAAATTAAATCCCCCAATGAGATGCTTCTCCATCAAGTACCTTCAAAGCCTTCTCAAAAATATTTAGATAAAAATGCAAAAATTTTATTTACCTTACAAAGTTCTTCAAGATAATATACCTGACTTCTTCAGTGTGTTTCCTGTCAATGCTGTTTTTGCTCACTGTACTCTAGTTAAAATAGTTACTATGTGTTTTTGACAAAATATCGAGCATGCCCCTATCCAGGATTTTAGATTATGCCTCGAATCTGCTCTTTTCCATAACTTTCATAATCTACTTCTTCAAGTTATTCATAAACCTGAAGATACCTCTGTAAAAACAAACAAACAAACAAACAAAAACCATTCCCTGACAACAGTATCCAATTGCCATGCTTTATACTAGGTGTCAGCAAACTTTTTCTTAAGAGGTCAGATAGTAAAGTAAGTGTATTAATCTCTAATGGTCATATCTATCATAACTATTTAAACTTGGTCATTGTAGCATGAAAGCAGCCATAGGCAATATGCAAATAAGTGAGTGTGTCTGTGTTACAATATTATTTACAAAAACAGGCAGCTAGCTGGTGGATCATAGTAGGCTGACACCTTTTCTGCATCATTGGCATACTTTACTGTTTTTCCACAATTTGTCTACCTAACCTTGCATTATATGTTTATATTGTTTTGATTTATTGCCTGCTTTTCTGTTGCCCCTGAGGGAAGGTGATTTCTCAGTTTTGTTAATTGCTCTGTCATAAACATGTAAAACAAGGCCTCAAACATTATGAAGCTTCAATAAATATTGGCTGAATAAATATATGTATACATGAAAGAATCAATTGAATATTTAATCCAAATGTGAAGAAATACTAAGAACCTACTCAGTCTTTTGGTTATTTTAGACACTACTGTTTTTAACAAAATCACTCTCCATCAGTCTTAATGAAGGAAGCTGCTAGTTTTAAGAAGTTGTTGCTTTATTTTTTTTAATCCACATTTTGGATACTCCAGATATTCCATCTGTTGAAATGATGTTCCTGTTTCTTCATTGATATAACAGTTGTTTTCTGTATATAAATAACTCTGTCTCTTTGGTTACTTTACCACAATAAACAGTAAGGACCTTTCTTAGGCACTAAGAGAAAGATCTCTTAAATTATCAAGTTATGTACTTTGAATGGATGATATGCAAATAGCTAATTTTAAAACAATGTGACTAAAAATAAATGCCATATTCTGTAAAATGTCTTCTCACTATGTTTTGGTGAATAAGGCTCAATTGTTTTATGTTGCCTTCTCAATAAACATCGTTGTTGCTCTTTAATACATATTTACTAATCTCTCTTTCTTGGAGTTCTAGCTTTCTGCCCTTGGGGGGCTATTCCTCCTATGAAACAGATAAAGTATAATTCTGACTATGAAGAGGAGAAAAAAGAAAATGTCTATTGTGTTTGGGGTGCAAGGTTGCAGGAAATTTTAAGCAGTCTGGGTATGCATCAGTTGGAGAGGACTAATAAAATGGAGTGAATGTACACAAATGTAATTACACTACATTTTGAATTGCAGGAACACAGCAGCTCTAGAAATTATTTATTTAGCATAATTACAACTTTGTATCCATTGAATGACAACTCCCTATTCCCAACCCACCCCCGGCCCCTGTTAACCACTATTGTCTTCTCTGCTTCTATGAGCTTAACTTTTTTAGATACTTCATATAAGTGGAATCATGAAGTATTTGTTATCCTGTGACTGGGTTATTTCACTTGTATCATCAAAGTTCATTTATGATGTCACAAATGGCAGGATTTCATTCTTTTTAAAGCTTTATAATATTCCATTGTATGTATATACCACATTTTCTTTATCCATTCATACATCAAAGGACATTTAGGTTGTTTTCATGTCATTGTTTTTACAGATAATGCTGCAGTGAACATGGATATACAGATAGCTCTTCAATATCCTGATTTCAGTTCTTTTGGATATAAATCCAGAGGTGTGATTGATGGATCATATATTAGTTCTACTTTATTTTTTTGATGAAACTCTATATTATTTTCTGTAGCTGTTGCACCATTATTACATTCCCACCAACAATGTATGAGGGTTCTACTTTCTCCAGTACCTTGCCAACCTTTGTTATCCTTTTTTATAATAATAACCATCCTAACAGGTGTGAGTTAACAATATGATATAGTGAAATTCAAAATGTATTAACAGGGTAGATCACATGTTAAGAGGGTAGGTCACATGATGATAATTAGCAATTCATAATATTATTCTTGTAATACATATAATTAAAATGACTGGCTTATATTCAGTGCCTTCTTTTCAGACTATTAACATTCAGATGGATTTATTTTCTTATGATGATCATATGCTACCCTAATTAATAAAAGATACAGTGGTGCTTACGTTGTGTGGTGCTCAGTGGCCTAGACTTTAAATGATCATCACGAATTCAGACAATGACATTGTTGAAAATTAATTTAATGACAATATTGAAAATATGTACATACGAGTTTGCAGATTTCATAAGAAACAAAGATTTAAAACTTTTTTATTTAAAAATGAGATATATATTTATTTTTATATATAAATTAAGAACAGTGTTGCTCACTGCATTTTTTATTGCACTACATTTTTGATGTTTTCACATTAGTTTGAAAAGTGCACA